ACAGAACACATACAATAATATACTGCATGTCATCAATGCTTGCCGAGAAAGGAAAGATTAAAACAACCATAATACCTCCAGGCCAATATTGAGAAACAAACCAGCCAGACCACCGCCTTGTCGTGTCTCATCGCTGCTCTCCTTGCCTCCCATTTCAACAATACACAAAGATTCAGCGGAATCCGGTAAAGCTTGCATGCTTAACGGCTGAAGACAGTCCTAAAGAAAAACAAAATCCCTGTATAGCATCTTTCGAAAAGCCTCAGAGAGCAGAATTTGCGGGGAAGAGTGGATATAATATCTAGTCTACCTGTGGATCCAAGGATATAATTCTCACGGTGTCATCGTTTAAACCAACTGCCAAGAAGCGACATCGCTGCTCCCCGACGGGAACACGGCCCAACGCCATGCAACTAACATCAGATGACATCTGCTTACGCTCCGTATATTCGTTCAGTTGACCAGACTAAACAACGATAACAAGAGAAACTTTCAAATAATTCACTGCTTGAAAATACTTTCACCAACTTCGAAGATATCGCAAGCAATCAAAATACCTGATCCATCTCGAAATAAACCAACTCTCCGCCACTCAATGCAATCACAACCTAAATAAAACGCACATTCGGTTGGAGGTTTCAAGGAAACTTGCAGAAAAATTAAAAAAAAAGAAGTTGTTTGTTAAACTTCGGCTATTCAGAAAGATAGAAAAATAATCAAAAGGCATAAAAACTTCATATTTAGATGTCCTGATATAGTTTATTCATCACAATAACCGAGTCAATACGTTCAGAGAGACGCTCTAAAGGAACCAGTCTGAATACGTTCAGTTATACGCTCTATGGGAACCAGTCTCAATACGTTACGCTCTATAGGAACCAGTCTTCATGCAGACATACCTGTCTCTCGTTCACAGCACATTTCACGATCGTTTTCTTCCCCGGAGATTTCCATTCATTTACACGTTTGTCCGCGCGGATATGTCTAATACCATCAGGGTACACCTGAACAGACAAACGTAAGCAGGATAAACATACACTGTACCACAAACTACGTGCATTCACATTCATCGCACAGACTCTAGAAACCCCAGATCCTCAACTTGACTTATGTGATTGACTGGATGGGTTTCCAGGGGGGGGGGGGAGGCTATACTGGCATAGAAGACCGGTCAACTTGGCAACTTAGAAATGACTGAATTTTATGCCTCATATGCTTCATTTTGTTCAGAATAGGATTTGTGTTGTTGATATCATGAGGATTATCATAAGGTGTCCTAAGTTTTTTCATCATTACAAAATGAAGTATACAACCTAAAAGGGTTGGGAGAAATTGTTTTCTCAACGCAATGCACACACTACCTGCAACAATGCATCCTCACCCAACAAGGAACAGGAGAGTGTTGGTGTTGTCCCCAGGAAACCACTATCCGTGATTTCTTCAACAGTCTCACCAATTGACAGCACCAGAGTTGCATTTACAAAGGATACAATAATATAAGAATCATATTCCTCTGAAACACACAGAAATATAACAGAATATTAGGTGTGTGTTAGCGGACTTCACTTTTCAGCAGCAATACAAAGTACCTTTACCAACTAATTGCCTCAGAAGTTCAGAAAAAATATACCATAATCACATTGATATCATATTTAGATGTCCTGATATTTTTATTCATCACTACAACTGGGCTTCTTCGCTCTAGTTCTCAGAAGGTTTCTCACCTAAATTGTTTAATTTCACAGTCCAAACAGCATTAGGATTGCCAGGCAGCTCAGAGACAGCCATTTCTGATACCTAGTGTTACAGAAAATGTCTTAAAACATAACCCAACATAACAGGGCAGTTGATCCATTGTAAAATTTAAAAGATTTTGAGATGGCTTGCGACTGTTTTCTTGTATTCTATTGAACAGTTGAACAACCAAGTCTGCAGCCTTACCTCTAAGCCGTGCCTTAACACTCGCAGTGATGACCTTGGACCCCGCCCGCAGGCTGCGTAAAGCTGTGGTGTGTCCTCGTTGGCTAGATCAGCAATCTGGCAAGACATGATTGGAGCCAAGCTGTCGATCTCATCAACAAGAACAAGATTCTTCAATTGTCTCGGTTGAAAGAAGAATGTTGTGCCTTCCTCAAGCTGCATGTTGCTTGAGAATTCTGGTTCATCATCGTCATCACCCAAATGAGCAATTTGATAGAAGTAACTAAACAATAACAATAAACGGATTTGTATAATTACGCCTTTGCCATTTTGTCTATTATCTCATGCATTTAAAACAGGTACTACGTACTGGTTGCCAAATTCCGAAGCCACAAAGAGGAAGCCGGTTTTCAAGACACACATCGAAGATGCGATCGGCGTTGTGTCAAAATATTTCAATCTGATCTCTGTGACCATCACCATGTCCTCGTCAGTTTCCAAAGTACATTTGAAGATGTCCCCTTGCTCCGTTTGTAGAAGGAAGAAAAACATTGACTGAAAAAAAACACATTGGAATTAGACGACAGAATTACAGTAAAATAACAGAATTCCACAGTTGAATCAAACCTTTGTTTTATGAGTTGCTGCACAAACAAAAATCATCCCTCGTTCAGGATCATCTACATCATTCTGTTTAGAGAATTAACAAATTTAGCAGATCATCTTTAAACATTACTCATATTTAATTTATTATAATCAAAACACTTGTCCCGAAGGTAGACACAAATGAATTTACCTTTCTTCTTGGTATTGGCATTTTCAAGTCCTGTTGATCACCAAAATTTTTGTACGTGAGATAATTTTCAGAGCAAACAAGAACCCCACTTGGGCCATCACTACCTCCAGGTACTGAAATAAAGAAATAACAAGCTTCGTAAAAACCTGCATAATTTACAGAGTCTTAACAAAAATAAATTAGAAAACTAACTTAACAAGTGTTGGTTGTATAACTGACCTCAAGTTGCAATAAGGGTACGAAATGCTTCTGATACATGATCTTACTGCTGACAAAGTTGTTTTACCTGATATAAGAAGATTCCCTCGTTCTTCTAATGGCTCACTGTATTTTCTCACAACATGGTTTAAACCTAGATCAAGTTCATAAAATGTTACTGTCTGTTGTGTGGTTTGAGCAGCTTCGCCAGTGTGATCTTGATCCGACTCCTAGGTAAAGCCAATAGAATAAAATAATAATACACCATAAATCTACATTTTCAATCTAATCCAATTGATGCTTAAAATTATGTTCTAGCATTGCTTAAATCATAAAATACTGTTTTATTATTGATCATCATTTGGAAAACCTTGAAAGAAAATGAAATTTCCCATCAAATGATGTGATATTTTGGGAGCAGTTTATATTAAATTCTCTCTCAACTGACCTCGTAATCCAACTCAAGACATGCAAACATCGGATTTTCGAAACCAACGTCAATTCCAACGATATCAAAAACCAATGTGTGGGACTTGTGTGCCTCCAGCGGAGATGATATGGTCAGTCTGGCTGCCGCATCTCGATTCATGATGTACACAAGCTTTTGTTTCTCTACTGCACCTAAAGATATAGGATTAGATTTAAGATTAGATTTAATCCTAATCAACCATATACCTCATCTATGACCTAATTCTAACCTCATCTCAAGGATTTAATTCAGGACTGTACTTACCGACCATAATGGCACGTCCTTTTGGATCAACAGCAAGATACTGTCCTGGAACAATCCTTCGGCAACCACTTTTCCCAAATGTTTCCATATGAATCTAACAGAACAATGTTCAGTTTGGTTAACGTAAAGAACCATAAAGAACCAACTGTCAATATAAAAAATGGTTATTACCCTCTCAAAAACATTCTTGAATGGAATGTACTCCAACACAACAATTCTACCAGAATCTGATCCAACAACAATGTAATCTGGTACGATTTTGAAATAAGAAACAGTTATAGTCATAAAAGTGAGTAACCCTCAAATCCTTAACACATGACGTTACTGTGTACATAAAGTTGTTTCCACAAAGCTCTGGAAAGTTCTCAACATTCTTTGCATTATTAGTTAACAAACCTTTACTGCCACCAGTCAAACGAAATGGTGCAATATCCCTGACAACACCAAACACCTCAACTGCTAGGACCGGAATAACCTTCCCGGTGTTGGGATCCGGGCGTAGGAGCTCAATCAGACCACCCCGTGCAACAACAAGCTCTTGGGACTTGGTGCCAGAAAAATTGCCATGAATAGCATGAGTGATTGCCGAGGCTCTTTGCAGTGTCAGGGAATAGAGATGCATTCTGTATCACAACTCAGAGTCTGTATATAAAATTCAGAAATGTATCAAAATCCTCAATGTAGATAGTTTTATTTTGACTTGTCTACGTTTTGGGGGAAATAGGGGAAAATGTGCATAATAGGAATGATTAAAAAGATGAGAATGTATTCTTCTAATGCACAGCTGACAGAGGAAGACTTATATTGGGTCACACAGGGGATTTCAGTTGTAAAATTTAGTCATAAGTTATCTAAAGGTATGCAAAAGTGAACAGCCTTGCATCGCAATTTTTCACCTGGAACAAACCAAATTAACAAAAATAATGACACAGAAGTATAACTTAATGTACGTTTTAAAAGTTTAATACCTTTTTAATTTCTTTGAGGCATAAATACGCGCAGGATTGCTAGGATTATTTATAAAACAGAACTTAGAACTTTCGTTGCAGAAACGATGATCGCATGTGATCGCAATGATCAAACGACAAAGGGGGGAGGTCAACGTGGGATGTGATGGGATATCGTGAACTCAGTTTACCCTGTCAATCCAAAACTATTTCCCTTTAATCCAATCTTATCATATGTTATCCCAAGTTTCATCCTGTCATAACAATACTCACCCCCCTCAGCGCCGGCATTATCACATTATATCTTACGGTATCTAACTCTATCCCACTTCATCCAAATTCTTTTTACCCCAATCCAAGATTACCCACTCTTTTCACATTCTACTCATTCCTATCCTATCTAATCAATCAAAACTTATTTTTGGATAAAGAAAATTAAAAATTCGAATACAGTTACAGATTTCAATTTAAGATGACAAATGAGTGAAATGATTGTTAACGGTGTCAATGAATGCCACAGAATTATAAAAAGAAGTTTGTCCTAACATCAACGATAATATGAAGTCTTCAAAGCGATGGTTCGTGTGGGACGGACTCGGAATAACTTGTGCTATGTTTACATATTTTCTTATCGGTTATGCCGAATTTGTTGTAGTTGGCGTGATGCTACTTCCCGAGCTAGCGACTACAACATGGGGTCTTTTTCATTCAATTCTATTCACAATACTTGCGATTTTAGCCGTAGCTGCTCACATACGATCCATGATTACTGATCCGGTAAGCTTTTTGTACATATATTTGACATTACTTTATAGTTTCGTGTACATAGATTATTCAAATTGTCAAGATATCGTATCGTTTGGTTAGTGTAAAATATCATTAGAATGCTCTTAGAATGTCTCAAGTGTGTTCTAATTGGATGACTTTAAAGCACAAAGTAGAAGGAAGATGGTTTAAGGTTCTTTTTCAAAACACTTTCTCTCAGACAATATGTATACTTTAAAAATCAAATTTGACTCATTAAGAATTGAACACATCATGAATTGTTCTCAGAGGACAGGCACTCATTTGCATGTGAGAATGGCACATTTGTTTATCTCTGTCATTTATCCACATATTGAATTTTTGGGAAATTAATTGCACTGCATGTCCATCACTAACCAAAATCTTGAACAAATTTCTATTTTTTTTCAGGGCACTATTCCATTAGGTAATTGTACAAAAGAAAATATTCAAAAGTTAGATATGAGAGAAGGGGAAGTTGTGTTCAGATGTACAAGATGCGAGTGTATTAAAACTGACAGAGCTCATCACTGCAGGTTTGAAAAATAAATGTTTTTTGTGTGAAACAGACATCTTTCAAGCACACAAAATGAAAATCCATCAAAATCTACGCATGATTATCAATGCAATACTCAAAAGATAACGTTGAATATTTATTTCTTGTAGCACCTGCCAAAGATGCATAAGGTATGTGTCAATTTATGTGGGTAACAAATTTTATCATTTGAATTGCAAGATATTAAAATGTGTAGGGAAAATATCGATAATTGTTGGAAACAGATTATAAAATTATTCATTATTAATTGCATTACTTTTTACTTTCTGTTCTTGTAGGAAAATGGACCATCATTGTCCATGGTAAGGCATACAAAACATTTGAATGCATACTTTAAAGATTTCATTTTCTCAACCTTTAACATTTTATTATTTTGAACAGGATAAATAATTGCGTAGGAGCAAGTAATCAGAAATTCTTCGTGTTATTCACGGTAGGGTGCAATTCATCAAATGGTGTTTGTACTTTCTACCTCATTATTAACCTGCATCAAATATTTTTTCTAGTTCTACATCATGGTTATATCAATTTATGCATTATATCTTTCTGTAAGACAGTTTTTTATGTGTCAACGCCAAGAATGGGAAGGTGAGTTTTTGCACCAAAGATATCCTAAACTCAACTATTCTTACTCTATTGTATAATCATCTTTAATGGACTTCCCCTACAACACTTTTATGTCTTTAGAGTGTACATATCTCAAAGTTCCAGCTGCCATGGTCTGCATAATATTCCTAATCTTTGAAGGAGTTTTATTTGGCTTGTTTACGCTTGCTATGTTCTGTACGCAAGTGTGCTCAATCTGCAAAGATGAAACAGTAAGCATTTAGTGTAATCCTAAATCTTCACTGAAACTTTGTTGCTTGAGTTTAGTATTTATTCACATTAAAAGGGCTTTACCTGCAACAACACATTAAAACTTTTAGGGAATTGAAAATCTCAAAAAAGAGAAAGTTGAAAAAGAGGAAGACAAATCACTGTAAGTTACCTTGTGACATGTGAAAAACAGGATAGAAAAATAACATTGATGCTCAATATCTTGAAATCTTTCAGATATGATAACCTTCAAGATGTGTTTGGAGGGCATTTTTCAATAAAATGGTTTTCACCATTTTCTCATCCAGAGATGAACAGAAGGAAATCACCTTTCTCTTATTATGAAGTTTAATTGGCTACTCCAAGTCAGTCCAAAATCATATTTCCAAGACCTGGTTTCAATTTGAGAACAATTAACAGAGAACAAAACACCTGCCGAACTCATAACAAGGGCTTACATGATATTGTCTCTTGTTTATGTCTCTTGAAAGATGGTCAGGAAATGATCACATCCATCCATGATGCATTGGTCAGGCAAAACAAGCTCATTCTGCATGTTGAACGAGGGATATAGCAAAATGTTTGCAACCAAGAAAGACTATAACCTAACCATGTGATGCACCAGATTTTGTAATGTCTTTGTGATTTATTTCTTACATGAATAAAAGCTTTGGACTTCTATAATGGCTACAAATATTCTACAACTACACAATTATACAAGCACATCACACAGTATGCTAGTCTAATATTTGAAATATTTATAATATTTGATCATAAAGACTGAATCAGAATTGATCCTAGGTCTTGCTGACATAACTCACGACTATGAAGTAAAAATCCAGCGTAGTTACCCAAACCATAGGAGCAGTTGGTCGGTCAATGAAGTTCATACAGTTTTGCATTTCAACAATCAACTCTGTGATTCTTCTCAAGATTGTAAAGTCCTCTTCAAAAATCTTTTCCTTGACTTGTAAACCACAAGTAAAATAAACAATTCTGTGCTGTAAAAAGTATGCATCACGCATTCTACAAAAGCAACGGAAAATTATTTTATTCCAAATCCATAATTATACAAAAAAGATTGTGAGTGGATATTTGGGCTGAATGAATGACTTGAAAAGTGACCAGAGATACATGACATGCATGAGTCATACAATGTTCATCTACAATGAAATCCCTATACATGGATTGGTGAGCCCCTTCAATTTGGTGAGCTTTTGAGTTGATGGGCACTGAGCTTTTCAGTTGATGGGCACATCCCTTTCACAGGATAGCCTTTTAAAACAAATTTAGAAATCCTACCCATCAGTATCTTCCCCCCAATCCACCGCGTCTAGGTTGTCCTCTGTTGTATCCAGCATTCCTAGGATGTCCTCTCTGGCCACCACGATTAATGCCACCGCGCCCTCTGTGTCCTCGTGATCCAGCAGGACCCCCACGTCGTGTAGGATCATTATAGCCACCATATTCGTATTGTTCTGGACGTGAAGAATCCGGGCCTGCTTCACGCCCGCGATACCGTGGATCACTTGGATCGTCACGATACGGCTGCTGACCATATGCATGAGTGTCTGTCACCTCACGACGATCGGCCATTGGTCGAGCTTCATATCCGCCAAGTCTAGAAATCAAATAAATAATTAAAATTCATTGTACAAGCTTGAATTTGAAATACAATTCCATACTTGAGGCATTAAAAATTGACTGCAGAAGTTTCTTCTACTTTACCTTCCAGTATTCTCTATTCTTTTTTGTCCCACCTCATCAGGTCTTCTCTCCCCCTCAGTTGCATGTGCTGCTTCCCCACCACCACCTGTGGGTGCTTCTCTGGGCTCCTGCACACCAGCTTGAGCCCCCTCCGCCACACGGGGCCACTCTCGGGGGGGAGGGCTCATTCTTCGCTCTCCATACGGGCCTGGGCCAGCTCTATCCGAGACCACGCGGATGTCACGAGGTCGAGGGTCACCGTGCATCTCACGTGACCTATCCCAGTCTCTGTACGGGGGTGGTGGTATATCATCTCTTCCGGGGGGAGCATCTCTCGGATCTCTACGATAGTCACGACCATCTGGATCACGGTATCCTTCCCTGGGAAATGGCCGGCCATAATCTTCACGCATGCGCTGTCTGGCATACTCGTCCCTGCGTTGGGCCAAATCGTCATCTAAAGGACCGATATATCTACTGTATTCTTCTCTTGGCAAAGGTCTCCCTCGTTCACGTGCGTAGTCGTCTGGTGGGCCAGGACGGTCTAACATAACGAGGAACAAAGAACATAGACATAATTCGCGGTAGAACTATACATAAGGCAATCACTATACCGGTGCAAACAATTTCATTGTACTTACATGGTAAATCGCCCCTTGGAGGATATCTGTCGTAGTACTCTCGTTGTGCAAGTCTGTCCCGGTCTGCCAATCTATCTCTGTCTGCTAATGCCGCAAGTCTGTCTCTATCCACAAGTCTATCACGGTCAGCAGCTAGAGCCAATCTCTCTCGTTCCGTCAACCTGTCCCGCTCGGCCAGAGGCAACCTGTCTCGTTCAGCTAACGCCAGTCTATCACGGTCAGCAAGCGCCAGTCTGTCTCGGCCTGCCAGGACTAATCTATCCCGATCACTGAGTCTATCGAGATCTGCAAGTCTTTCGCGATCCAGACGTTCGTTCATCAGGTCTCTTGCAGCTAATTTTTCTCTCTCGCGCGCAGCCAGCTATGAAAAAGGAGCTTGTTGTTAGACCTGCTGAGATAGATAGAACAGGCTATGCATTTCTGAATAACTCATCCATTACCCACTAGATAACCAGTGTAGATAATCACTTTATATTTGCTTAATGTGATTACATAAAGTGATATATATTCAAGATCTTCGACATTTCGAGCAATGGCTAACTTTGATCTTAAAAACATGCAAATCCTGGTCTACACTCCACTAGATTTCGATTAGGCTTTTCGCAATGACAAACGTTAAAGCGTGTTTACCACAACAACGATTTGAAACTCTTCTCCACACTTACCTCGTATTCATCTCGTGTCAAAGTTGCGGTATTTCGTGCGGTCTGCTTGTCATATTCCTCCCTGGAGAGATATTCTTCCCTGGAAAGATATTCTTTATCACGAGCTGGAAGTCGCTCGTACTCATCTCGCGTCAACAGCGATTTTGCTCTGACGGAAAGTTCGTCGTAATCCTTGATTGAAGTCGCCGGAGTAACGAGCTCGTAATCCTTGCTAATTGATGTGATATCATCAGGTTTCTGGTAATCTCTGCCAGCCACCAAAGATTGATCGTATCCCTTGGGTGCATCGCTGTCCTTAGATCGTGCCTCGGTCTCCTTGTCCGCAGGGTGAGCACCAGTCTCTAAAAGCAGTAACTTCCTAGTGCTTGGCGGTAGCTGCGCGTACTCCTCTCGGGACAACACATCCTTCGCCCTTTGCGAGAGACGGTCATATTCATCCGGGGTTGGGACCGCACCTAGCTCTAACTTCGAAGAACCGCTGTCAATGGAACTTCTACTTGAGGCCGACTGATCCTCTCTTGTTACCTGAACGTCCTCTCTTGATCCCCTATTATCCTCACTTCTCGGCTTTTCGCTGTAATATCCACCAGCTTGCACAATTCGTCCGGTGCTTTCGTCAACGTAAAGACGCGGCTCGCGACCGTCATATGGCGAGACACTTCGATCCTCCTCCGGACTTGCTTTTACTGGATCAGGCGATGCGACACCTCGCTTCAAAGGAGGGCTTTCTCGTGCATCTCCCGGTTCTTCCTTCATTTTCTTGTACATCGCAGACGCAAGCTCCTTCTCTTCATCGCTGTCTTGTTCCGCATCATCTTTTTTCTCGGTTTTTCCAACGACAACACCCATCGCTTGTTGTATCATCTCATCAATCAATGGCGACTTATGTTTCATGAACATTGCCAAGTGCTTCGGTCCACGCAAGTGTAAATTCTTAGCAGACAAAGTCGCGAATTGAACATCACAAAGTTGACAGAAATACTTCGCTTGTTCACCTGTGTTCACAACATACTCAGCACCGACTGCATTCTTAGGCAGACCACTTGATGCTTGCTCTTTACCTTGAACGGAAGAAAATTTAGATTGCTTCTTCAGTATCGACTTTAATGGCCTGGACCCGAACTCATCTGTTTCGTCCGAGACTTCAATATCATCTCCATATTCCTCACCAAGTCTGTGTAGTTCCGAAGGAAGTCCTTCGCTCTCAGCTGTCGCCGAAGTTACGGGTCGTAATGCGGACGATGTGAGAGTTGTGTTCCCCCCGGATCCAAGAGCACTGACCTGACTGAGCAAGGTTTTTAATGCTCGGTCAGTAGAAGAGATTCCACTTTTACGGGGGAGAGAAGTGCTTTTCTCGCTCGGCTGGATATACGTCAGGGCAGAATTTGGGTTGACTGGTGTGGTTACTTGAACGTTAGGTGGTGGTACAGGTATTGGGTGTCCCAAACCCGGTCTAGTTGGAAAGGGACCGGCCACCGGTACCATCCCAAGTGGTGGAGGTGGCACGGATATCAGAGGCCCGGACAGCGGAGGACCGGAAAGCGGAGGCATAAACGGACTGCCTGGTAATGGGAACGGTGGTCGTCCAGTCATCGGTAAACCACGACCCAAGTTCTCAACTCTGGCAAGATTTGCGAGAAGATCTTTCTGTAGCTCACCCAACTCCTCCTCGTAATTATAACGATCGGATTTCTTTCTTCTCTTCTCGTCTCTGTTATCAGTCTCTCGTTTCTTCTCATCGCTTCTACTCTCAGTCTCTCTTTTTTTATCCCCCGTCTCCTCGCCAGTCTTTCCCTGTCCTCTTGCTTTACGCGTGCTGCTGTCCGACCGACGTTTTTCAGCCTCACTCGGACGCTTATCCTCTCCGTCTTTAAAATCACTCTCAAACTTATCCTTGAGACTGCCTTTCATCTTGACATCAATATCTTCATAGTCACTTGCATCTTCGAATATCTTATCTCCCTCGCTGTTCACTCGTTGTCTTTTCTTGTCGTCTTCGCGAGCGGTCTTCGACTCCTCCGTCCGTTTTGTCTTCCTCGTGTCATCTTCCATTGTTCCTTCCTTCTCCTTGTATTTCTTCTCTTCCTTTCTATCGCCTCGTTTCAATTCCTTCTCATCGGATTTCTTTCGTTCAGATTTCTCACCCTTGTCTTTCCCATCTTCCTCTTTTCCTCCAGACCAGTTCGACACAGTCCACTTGGCCAAGACTTTTCCTTTCGCGTCCTTACTCTTGGCTTTAGCTTGTGAGAGCGAACCCTCCGCTTTATCCTTATCTTTGCTTTGCCCTTTTTCGTCCGAACTTCTTTCGTCTTTCTCTTTCTTTCTTTTCTCGGGACTTGGCGTGCGTCTCGATCTCTTGCTAGACCTGTCCCGGGACGAGCTTCTTGATCGTTTCCTGGAACTGTATCGGCTTTTTCTTCCACTGCTTCGACTCCTGCTATCACTTCGACTACGGCTCCGTCGTCGTCTACAAAAATAGACGAGGGAATACAAACTAAGAAACATGCGTCAAAAGTGCGAATGAACTTGTGTAAAGATCGTCATTTTTGGGGCATTCTTCATCTGATAAAACGTTGGTGTTTTTTTTTATGAAGGCCTAATGTGAAATTGGCAGATATTGTATACATCTAATCTAACACACAAAGGGGAAACTGCCGAAAATGAAACTGGTTAATTCTGTGAAGCTAAGGATGACCGGGGTTCGTCATACAACTCTACCTTTCTCGGCTTCTACTTCGGCTTCTGCTGTAACTTCTTCGATCTCTTCGAGATTCGCGTTTCTCCGGAGGACTGGATTTCCTGTCCTGCTTTTCCACAGGTATGGCTTGATCGGAGGCAAGCGACAAAACATTGCTATCTTGCTTGAACTGTTGGCTTCCTTCATCGCTGCCGACACTCCTTGCACTACTACCAGCCAAGGCAGCACCTGTTCCTTCGAGATCCAGACCAGCCAAGCCACCCATACCATGTACACCGAAAATCTTCTGCATCAACTCCAAACCACCCTGTCTCTCGGTGAGATAGCGGATATCTGGGAACTGCCGTTTCAGTAACTCGAGCAGAAGCGTGCGTTCCATGTCTTTACAGGCATCTTGTCTGTCATCCGACTCCCTGACTTCCTCCATCTTGCTCGTACCATAATTCTCCACCTTCTTAACACCCTGGTCAGCAGCACTACTATCATCTCGGAGATGAGCAAAAGCTCCACCAAAAAAGCCTTTCAATCCTGATCGAGTTTCATCAGCAGCGTTGTCAACACTCTGGTGACCGTAGTCGAAAACAACAGACCCTTTTCCATCTTCTTTCTCAACGATTCCACGCTGTTTGTTTATAACCTTCCTGAGATCATCATCTTCTTCAGTCTTCCTGTCACCTTTTCTCAAAATCACTCGTTCACTGTCGGAATCGCTCGTGTATTTGTCGTCGTCGTAGTCCTTTCGTCTCTCGCTCCGACGATCAGACTTGCTGTCTCTCTTGTCTCGTTTATCGCTCTTCGAGTCATCTCTGGAATACCGATCACGAGAACCACGATCCTTCGACCCCTCCCGGGAATACCGATCCTTCGATTCTCCCTTCGAATACCGCCCCCCGGAGTCATCTTTGGAATACTTATCTTTTGTATCATCCTTGGAGTACCTATCCCGGGGGGTGCTGCTATCAGATTTTTCTGACTGGTTCCTTAAGCCAGGTGCCACCCATTTGTACTTATCACTGAAAGTTGTGCCTTTACCTCTCCCCCGTCCACGGGCCTCGGTAGTTTGCCCTCGTTCTTTGCCTTCAGCGCCAGCAGGATTGCTGTCTCGTTTTGAGACTTTCAGAATTTCCGCTCTTTTTTTCCCGTATTCTTCTTCGCGTCGTTTCGCCCATTTTCCGCGTTCCTCTTCGTCTTCTTTCAATTTCTTCTCCAGTTCTTTCTTCTCTTTCTTATCCAAAGTCACCTAAAGATTCAAGGGTCCAGTTACACACGCACTAAACCGTTACTATAAAATAACCACATTAGTGTCAAAGAAGAAATAACTCAGAGAAAGTGATATTCTTGCATTCTTCTGCAAAACTGTGCTGCCTTGGTCTTTGAAAAACTTGATAGTTTAACTTTAGGCACGCTCTTAGATCCTGACTAATATTATTTTAAGATACATTCCGGCAAAGTATAGCTAAGCTGGAAAACCGAAGCCTCAAAAGATTGTTTTAATCCCGCTGCCAAAAATGGCATCCCTAGACTAAGTTCGTCTCCCTATAAAATTCTCCCATTGCTGGTAGCCGATATAGCTTACAAAGCGCAGTACATAGAAGTGATAGAACAACAAACTACTTCTGGCCGCTTGTAATGAAATAAATGCACAAAGATTGCTTGTGTCAGTCGTTCTTACCCGAGGCATCCCCATTCCCATGGCGTCCTCTTCGTCGGCTTGAATGTCCACGACAACCGAACGAGAATTGGCGTCGTCCACGGAATCCCCGGCGATATTCACTTTAATTTTATCGAAGTTTTCAATCGGCGGTGAGATGGTTCTTTTGATTTTATCCCTGAGGTCCTGCATGCTCTCTTTTTCCGAGTCTGTCTCAACAGGCATCAGGCGCTGGCGTGCAGCCAGGTTGCTGGCGTGTTTCTTGCTTCTCAAATGCATCTTGTGGTTGTTTGGTGTGTTGAAGGTCATACAGCACAGGTCGCAGGAGATCTTGATCTGACCATGGCCTTCCATACGTACTTGATGGTCTTTGCTGGTCACATGTTCTGTGTACGCGACCTGTAACAGAGTGAGCATGGTTATTTTAATTTCACCATCACCTTGGGGGTGAGATGTCTTGCACCATTGAGACTGAACTGTAGCCTTCAGCAGCATCACCAACTACAGTTTACTATGATGTCACCACCATCTAATTTAAAAGCTTCAAGATTATTTTACCTCTGAACGACAATCCATGTCACAGATGCCACAGTAATATGCAGACACTGTCTCTGTGATGGGTTCAACCTTGTTCATTATCACTAAACATTTATCACTGGTATCCACTTCGTTTGTGTCCAGATCCACCTCGACACCTTTCCCCTGCTCGGCTCTCTTTTCCACCGCCTTCTCATGCCTTGGTCCCTTCGCATGGTCTTGATAATGCTCATCATTCACACAGTCTAAATCACAAACCTCACAGTAGTGGGGTGAGTAATATTTGATGCTAACAAATGGGTCTTCCTGTTCAGTGTCAGTGTACGGCTTGCCATAGACTGGATTCTTCAAAGCTGTTTTCTGAACTAAAGGCATATGACTCTGCTTTTTGCAATGCTGTGTTAACAACAGCCTTGTCTCAAAATTCTGCTTGCATCCAGCACACGAGTGACTCTTTGCCAGTTCGCTTTCCCGACCAGCCTTCACAGCCTTTGCATGTTTCTTAGTTTTGCTATGGGTTGTGTACGTTTGCTCGGATTTAAAACGCTTGCAACAAAAACGACAGGCATAATAGGATGATGGTTTCAATGTTGGCTGTTGACTGGTGGTGGGTGAAGGCTCTGTTGTGCCTGTATTTGATTCTCCACCTTCAGTCTTGCCTTGTTTTTTGTTGATACTGAAGGATATACGACTTTTTCGCATCATGCAACTACACAAAATGACCAAAACATTTAATTAAGCAAAGATGAGCAATAAATCATTATGAAAGTATTATTTCAGCTGTATATAATTAGGTAAATACTTAGTGTAATTGTTTATCATTGCTGATGGAAACAGTGATATAAAAGAGATGCTTGTCCTGAACACACCTTTTTGGTCTTGGTTGCTTTAAAACAATTTATCAGCAAAACATAAACCTGCAACTCTTGGATGCTTCTGTTTTTATACTTCTCCTACGAATGGCAGAAATAACAGTGTTAACTCATATCAAACACACACAAAATGAACATCAAAAATTGAAACCATTTTAACCTGTTTTGTTCGATATAATCCTGCTATGCTATGCTTTGCAATTCAAATAGATTTATTCTGTACTTCTTCTGTAAATACAAAATAAATGTTATCCAACAGATTACAAAAAAGACTCGAGATGGCCAAAACATGCTGGGCTAAAGAACATCTACCAATAGACTGCAGCATCACAAACATTACTTTCTCAATCATATAATATATTAAATATAATGGACTGCTATACAATTACTTTTTCATGACTACGTATCAAATTTCTATGAGGAAATGATTATTGCATTCAAAATTTTCAACATCAAAAAAGACCATGAAAAATTGGTGAATAAAGCCACTCATCCAGCAAGTTACTGCTTCAGGATTTTTAAAAAAAATACATAAAATGTCTTGTAGGTTGTAAAAGCCAGCAGCCTTGATCCTGGAAGTACCCTACGGGTTTCAAAATAGTAATTGGGTTTACACTGAAGATAGTAAAAGAGAAAAAGCAAATCCTTTTTATTCTTACCTTTCATTTGGATTCTATTCAATTCAAAATTAAAATTTTCCAGAGGATTGAGAATTGCACTATCTAGTTCAGGAAATCAGGTTAAGCTATTTTGTCCTTCATCCTTAGAGCAACTGCATCACAACTTTGCTGCCATACAAGACCTTAAATCATTACATCTACACTTTTATAACCCGAGGTCATATTTTCCAGTGCTCAATGAATCCTTGTTTATTGTACGTCAATTTTTTACGCTGAAACATGCCAGATTGCCCACGAATGGACAAAGAGGGGCAACCCAACCATATCCAATCAGATGTATGGCATGTTGTTTAGCATGTTAAGACATAAATGCATCTTTTTTGCATAAATGCATCATATTTTGTACTATGCCATCTTTATGTGCACATTATACAATCAAATCTTGCAGATTCTTTAAAGACGACCCCCAATCTTGTGCTCTAATGCATTGCATCGCCGCGAACTGCGCATATTCGTATTAAATGTGAACCATTTTAGCTCAATTTGTGGCACGCCAGTTGCAGTTCTAAAGTGATTTGCTAGACTTCATATTTTAGCGTGCAAAAGAACACTAATCTTTTATCTCACGGAGAAATGGGTATAAAATATTCTGAATGAAATACCCTGTTTCACCCATTCGTTTTTCCCCATTTACAATGTCTCTATACCTCACAATTTATTACAAATATAAAATTACATCAAATATATATTTCATAAATAATACAGTAAAAATCTCAACACAACTGCTTTCAACAAGCGGCAAGTTAAACACTTTCTAACACATTACAGTACTCTTCCAGCTAAAAAAATCTTCTAAAATATCCACGGAAATTGCGATTTAAACTCACAAACCTTTTAGTTGCCTGGATCTTTAGAAAACGTGTACTTTCGCCACGTTTGGGCTGCTAAATCGTAGCTAAGTCTGTGGCCATCTTGTCCATCGCATGTGGACAATCGACAACCGAGTTCATTGGATTGGAAACTGGAACCAACCGGAAATAATTATGCAGATTAAATTTACAGGTGAAGGTTCAAATTTTAGTCATGAAAAAGCATAGAGAAATCCCTTGACTTTTTACATTCAGGACTAAAATTTCATTAAAAAACTGGTTCAGTCTTTCAATAAGAGTAAACAACACAGCCCTAATAATGAGCGTTATGCCATTTAATAAAAAATTGACAGAAGGAAATATGGAAATATTTAATATTTGACCATCCATAATAATTGTCACAGGTGTAAACTTAATGAAAACAATTATATTTACAGATATCTCCCAACATTTAAATCAAAATTGCATTACCGAAAAACTAAGAGAGATAGGAAATTAACTGTCTACACATGTATTTATGTCATACAACGTTGCCTTGACACGCCATATTGTATTTTATATAGTCCTTTTAACTTGTAAACATTACATACACTATTTACATATTAATATCTTTATAACAACAAATAAAATATGATTTGATCACTTGGCTTACACACAACAACCAGTTCCTCTCAACTTACAAATATCCCAACAGTTCTTTTCGATCAATAACAGTTAGCACATCAAAAATTTGTAGCAAGCAAGCCAAGGAACACAGGCTGCAACCCTGACTTCTCTATTTTATCATTTTCTTTTCACAATCAACTTGAAATTGGTTCAGCCTTTATTTTCTCCTCATCCTGAAATTTAAAATGCAATAGAAATATTACTCTAAATCCTGTGTGTAAAAATATCATCCCATACCAAAAAGAGAGTTTGTAAACTTACAGTATTCTTGTTCTGATTAGATGTTCTATTTCTCCAGGTACCACGGTTACCCCAGTTACCTCTGTAGCCACCCCGTGCTCCACGGTTGTTGGTTCTGTTCTGCTGGTTACGTTCGCCATCACGATCATTGTTACCACCACGGTATCCACCTCTACCACGTCCTCGTCCTCTACCTCTACCCCTCCATCCACGACCTCGTCCGTAGCCACGAGAATATGAACCACTCACACCAAATGTCTCAACATTCAGTTTACGCTCTTCTTGCCAGTTTCCCGTTCTAGATACAAAAAAAAGGTCAATGCAACCAATTTAAGATTTCAAGCACTTTGCAAACAGTTCTATATGCAAGCACTTTGGAAATACTTTCAAAGGAAAAGACTTTAACTCTTTTTAACTCACTTTCGTCCTTGTTCTGATGGTAATGGGTCACTTGAGATAAAATCAAAGAATGACTTGGATTTGTCATAGTAAACACCATCAGCTCCTGGACTCTCCACTTCAACTTCATTTTCAACTATCACCTAGAAAATATAGAATTAACATGCATGGTTAGTTTCATCAAGGTTGGTATTCTGTATTACAAGAGAGGTGTCATTGAAACTCACCTCTTCTTCTTGTGATGATATCTTCATTTTCTCTATCTCAGATTTCAGTTCTAATTCTATTTTTTCTTTATCAAATCTTGCATTTGAACTTTCAAAATCAAATTCTCCATTAAACTTTATTGGCTTTCCCTTCTTTGTGCTTCCAGATTGCTGTTGGGGTCCACTTCCTTTTTGACCACCTCCTTGAGCTAGAAGAAATTGCGAAGCAAATTTAACCACAAGGATTTTACCTGCACTAAGATGTGCCGTTAAACATCTGAAATTTAGGGCAAGCAAACAATTGGGACATTGGGATTGAGGTATAAAATTTGTTAAATAGTTTAGATGTGTTTCTCAAAGGCATTTAAAATGCAGTTAAACCAACCTTTTGTCTTATTTTCATTCACTTTCTGGTTTTTTGGCGCTTCTTCATTTTCCTCCCTTTTCTCAGCTGGTTTATTGGGTCCATTTTGGTTGGTTTCCAACGAGTTTCTTCGAGATCCTGACCTCCTTCTAGGTCTTCCAGTTTGGGTTGATTTCTGACTTGGTGGCTGAGGAGTTTGTGTTTCAGACTCAAGAGTTCTAGTTTGCGTCACAGAACCGATTGGGGCAACATTCACAGGTGGGCTTGGTGTTCTGCTTTGAACAAGAGGCACACCCATTGGTGACCTTGCACGGCCTGGATTGATGCCAGGTTGAGGTACGGGTGAGTATGCTGGATGCTGGGCACCATAGCCATAAGGGTGGGTAAAGTTTCCGTAACCAGCAGGGTAGGATGTTGCATTTGGAAAATGTGAAAAGTTTGAACCTACAGCTCCTTGCTAAAAATAACATGAAAGCAGAAGAAAAAGTTGTTAATTATTGACAGATCACCAGAAATTCAAACAAAATAAGTTAAATAACATGTACTTTTGGTAAGCAAAACACAAAAATGACATTATCAATGGAAGTACTGTGCATGCTTCATCATGCAAGACAGATCCTGAAAAATAGCAAAGACTACAAATTGACATTGATTGAAAATTAATTTTACTCAAAAGCATGCACAATTCAACTTAGATACAATTCCAACTGTTCAAAAAAAGCAACGTCAGGATTTAGGATTATGATGCAACTGTTCTCCAGATGATATTTCAGACATGAATTTTATAATATCTGTCTTTCCAGTTTCCAATGACGAAAAAACAAACCTGGAGAATTGAAGGATCTTGATTGACCGTGCTGATAACTTTAGGGGCTTTCGAGACATGTAGATCTTTAATATCGCTGCCTCTAAAGACGATATACTCATAAACTTCATTACGGGGCCCAACTTGTTTTTCAGCACTTCTATCCTCTGTACCATACGAGCGAACTGCAAAAACAGGAAAATATTTAAGTAAATGACTTGTTCACGGGATCCCCTAGAACGTTCATCCCTAGAAAGAGGAGAAACCGCAGTAAAATTACCTACCATTAGCCAACGTAACTGTCGAGTCCTTCGTGTCAATGGACCACAATATTCCTTCGTATCTTATCTCTGCCTTGGAAATAAGGCTTATAGTACTTCCTATATATGGTGTACCACCGCTCATTTTGCAAAACAGCGGTAAAAACTAAAAGATGCTTTTACAAATTCACGGATTCTTTTCTTTTTCTTTCAACCTTCTTGTTTGCAGTTTACGAAAGTTTTCAAGATGGCCGCGGACTTGGTAACCACGCTGCTATCTCATGATCATGATGTCGTGATGGCGTAGTTGATCCTCGGCCAATCAGCGTCGAACCCGCCAAAATCCAACTTTGGCGGAAGATTTCATTCTAGCGGGATTTAACCACTGAGCTATATAGTCATATCATGAATAGTTAGTAAAAGAAATAAAGAAGAAAGATCAAACTTTAATATTCCCCGAAAATCGAACAGAATCAACGAAGATAAAAAATAAAAACTTGTGAAATAAATACATACAATTTAGGCCCAAATTGTACCGGCGAATCAAGCGGCTATACTAAATACAAAATTAACAAACTAAGCCGTTCAGTCATTTACATTGAGTTTACTTTCAAGAATGATGATTATTTTCACGTTAAAAGCCAACAAGTATTGTTTCAAAACACTAAAGGAATATCAAAACACTAAAATTTCTCGCTAAAAACACTTAAAAAACGTTTAGGCGTTGAAATCTTGTCATTTCCAAGCGTGTGCCTTATTAGTCGTTTTCTGTGCATATACTTGTTAGGGACCGCCTCCCGAAACCACGAAAAGCTTAAATACGTTAAATTTATCTTCGCTCTCAAGGCTAGCCACTGTAGCTGATTCGTCTATGACGCGCTAGGCGTGTGGCAATGCATACTCTGTTTCTCACTGAGACGTAACGGTTAGGTGCACATACATCATGGTCTGGGGGCCGTAGTGCATCTCCCCCTTAGACGGCCGTTAAGATGTGAGTTATGGGGGGGAGTTCTTCCTATAGCAACTGTCCTTGCACCTTTCGTAGTTGTAACTATGTTGGTATATTGCAGCCGGTTGTATAACCAGGTTAGATTGTGGCATAGGCTGGATGATCTCTTTTGGGTGTTTTTACATTCTTTCCCAATTTTTTTTTTTGGCATGCTTTCCAAATTTTTCTTTTACATACAAAAAAAAACTGTTATTAAACATATATGGAATGGATATAAAAATTTATATCGACTGAAAACCACTTTAATTTACCCCTGAATACTCTCCCCAGTCTCTGCATGAATGAGTCTCTGAATTAAACAATAGTAAAATACCAGAAAACATTCATAAACATCAAACATCTTCATCAACCTTACAGTAGTAAAACAGCGACAAAGACATTCAGACAGTCAACTCTGCGTTCTCGTTAGTGCCTTCAGCCCGAGAACTGTCAATCAAAAGTCTGGATAAATCCCTTAGCTTTCCCTGCGAGTTTTTAAATTCATATGTCAAAATATCTGACATTGAAAACAACTCAAGTTTTTCTACTAATTGTGGACTTAGTTTATTCATTAATACTGAGATAGTATGAAAGAAGACTTCACCATTCTCCATGAGATAGTTTGAAAGAAGACTTCACCATTGTTGGGTATACCAGTACAGTATGGTAAATTGGTAATCCAGGTTCTACCATATCCCAATGGTAGAACGTAACCGAACGTAAAATTGTAAAAAGAAGCTTTACGCCCGTAATTTTTTGACCAGCGCTGACAAAATTCCCACCACTGATTCCCAAACTGATTCCCACCTTCCCACCTCTCGACAGTGGGTAATTTTTTTTTGTCCAATAGGATTAGTGATTCGTTGTCATGTGACAGTACGAGGGAGCGGCGGTGCGAGGCATTTTCAAAATTTTGTTGTAGTTCTGGTTTGCTGTTTGAGAACAGAATTGCTGTAAAATGTTTATCAAATTCCTTAAATTAATTTCTTTAAACCGGTTTTATTAAGCCAGACAAAGAAAAGAGGTATGTTCTTGTGTTTTATTGTAAAGTACTCCACAGTCATGGCCTAAAAGTGATTAAATTTCTGTGTTAAATTCGACCTCGTGTTCGGCCATATTTTGGCTGCGTCCGTGTTAAATCTTCAGCGATGTTTTTTTGTTATTCGCAAAGAAATACTTGGATATGATATTCTGGTTATGCTTTAGGTTGAAATTGCTTTACAATAGCTGTTTATTTCTGTCGTTTTAGGCTTATTGCGAGCAAAATAAATCGCTTGTCAAGGGTATATTCAAGACTGAAAAAGTCAAGTCCATTGAAGGAGTTCCAAAAATCATCACTACCTTGCTCAATAAAAGGTAAAAGTTAGGTGCTTTATTATGTATATTACATTTCCTTTTCTCGTACTTTATTAGTAAAATATGAAATGGTATTTTTCTTCCCTGTTTTTTTTTTGTAAATTTAATGGATAATGTACCACATGTAGTGATAAAGTGAAGCGACGAAAGTGCTTACAGTAGCATAAAATAATTCTTCCTACGAAATAATTTCTGGCGAAAAACCCGCCAAGTAGTCGAATTGTACAAATCATGAACATGAATAATCTTTTAATTCGTGGTTGTATATATTTTGTGTAAAGCCGAGAGTAAAATGATTTGAATTTTTGAATTTTTGATTGAAAATACTTGAATTGAAAAAATGCAACAAACATTTACATCACTTATTACACCTATTAGTTTGCATTTATGACTGTTGAAAATTTGCCAGCACGCCAGGAACTAGCTGGCATGCAAAATCCAAAGCAAAGTAATTATATTTATCAAAATCTAATATAAAAAAATTATATTAAAATTATACAATATGCACGCCTAAAAACTTAGCGTGCGGTATTCAACATGGCTGCTATAATTGGGTTCGACGAAGAAGAAGGCATTCTAATTGTATTCTAATCGCATGCTAATTGTGACTCGCGCGGTGTCCCGCGTCGTTTTGCATGCTATTCGATCTTAGACTTTGACGCCATCTTGGATGGACTATGTCTCACTCGGTTTCGTGTGTGACGTACTTGATTTTGGAATCCTTTGAGTTTTGCTATTTCTGAACTTTAACTCTAGCACAAGTTGTTCACATTTTGTTCTGCAGTCTTTCTGCAATCGTAATTTTTTTTTCAATGTTTTGTTATTCGCCTTAAAGAAACTTTAGCCTTGTATTTGCCTTGTTTCTTCCTATATTTATTGTCACTGCCAATTGTCATAATTATGCACTAGACTAGAGTTTTATATATTTCGCCGTATATTAGCAAGAAAAAGTCCATAATAAAAAATCGCACTTGCCTAATCTTTGATTACTACTAGTATATTACATATACTTTATATAACCAAAACATATCCCTACCCACGTTCAGTTCAAACTAAAGTTCCATCAACACAAACTGACTATAACTAAACGATAGCTATATCAACAAATACATAAATTATGAACTCATTTACAAAATATCAACCCAATTTATTTGTCTTATTATGTTCGTCCCAATAGAACAGAGGTTGTCTTATCCTTAATGGATATCTACGCTGTCTTTCTTGACGTTCTGCTGGTTCTTCTTCTCTTCCTTGTGCATCACTGTCTTGGAACAGGTTGTTGGCCACTATCTTAACTCTCTTCCCACGACGTTCCAGTAAATATCTTAAAGTGAGAACAATTCCTCGTGAATCGTGATCTGGTGGTCATGTCCTTAATTAATGTCCGTAATTTTATATGCTTTGTGATTGAACCTTGATGTTCGTTTATTTTGTTTTTTTGTCAAACCAAAACTTGATTTCTTATCTTAGAATTAGATTATTTCGCCCCACGACGTTTGTCAGCATAGGCTTTGGATTTCATTTTGGTTTTGGCATACGCCTGCTTCATTTATTCGTTTGTTTATCTCTTTCATATCAGTGTTCACTTCTTAATTGGTGGGGTACCTCGTGCGAATATTCCGTCCAAAGAGCGCTGTAGCAGGCGGTATATTAGTTGTACAATGCAGGGACGCCGGAACGATGTGAGGGCAAGGGGGGCAGATTTTGGTGAAAGGGCATTCCTGTAGCGGCGCACTAATAAAGAATGTTTGCAAAACATCGTCAGTTAAACTTCGTATGGTCGTGATTTCTCTTTCCAAGATAATTTCTGTGTCTAGACGATTGTGTTATTCTTGATGCTCGTTTGTGGCACGTCTACTTCGGATATAGAATGTAATTAATCTTTTAAAATGAAAGGGCATTTTTGCCCCCCTTGCCCCTGCTGGTAAAAGGCAAGGGGGGCAGTTGCCCCTGCTGCCCCCCCCTGTTCCGGCGTCCCTGGTACAGTGTAGTGTTGCGTGTTGCGCGACTGATAATTCATGAGAAATTTCTGTAATTCTTGCTTCCAGTCTTTGTTCTCAATAACTGCAGTTTGAAGACATTTCTTCAGTGGTTTCATGAATGTCGAAAATAGAAAGCAAGTCTAACATTTTATTCAACAAGCGAACTAAACGTTTTTGAGTTTTGACAAAGATATTGTCTCATATTCTGTGCATAATATTCAAGTTAACTCATTCCAGTCAGATGTATGTAAGAGTGTTATTTAATTTTGATTTAACCACACACTTATACAACTGGCCCCTGATCTTACAGATTATTCAACATCATCAACTCTTAAGAAATATATGTCAACTATAAGCAACAATTTTTTGTTACAGTACTTGCCATGTTAGCTAATAGCTACCTGATAGTAAGTAGTGTTGCCAATCAGACAGCAATTCAAGTAGTGACATATTTTTTAATAAATATACGTAATGTTCTGACAGATTACTGTTCAAATGTGCACAAGTTACAAGGCCAAAAACTGAAGCGGATCCTCATGATGAGCAACTGTGGGACATATCAACACAAATCACTCTTGGCAAATTTCGAAAGAAACAATGGAGAGATAAGTGCATTTACAATATTTCATACAATATGGTTCATTCTATATCTTTCGTTTCCCTTCCCGGCAGCGTCAATTTTTTCGGTAGCGTTCATTTTTTCGGCAGCGTCAATTTTTTCGGTAGCGTCCATTTTTTCGGTAGCGTTCATTTTTTCGGCAGCGCCATTTTTTCGGTAGCGTCCATTTTTTCGGCAGCGTCCATTTTTTCGGTAGCATTCGTTTTTTCGGTAGCGTCCATTTTTTCGGCAGCGTTCATTTTTTCGGTAGCGTTCATTTTTTCGACAGCCTTCATTTTTTCGGTAGCGTTCGTTTTTTCGGTAGC